ATTGGAAATTTTGCTTAAGGCTGGTCCTTCTTTATTTTGGAGATAATCAGCATCATATGTAACATCTCATCAAATCTAGGTTACACTGGCTATGACAAAAATGATCATACGTTTTATTTTTTTATTGATCAACTGCTTCATTGGCCTAGGTTAGGATTAGGTTTGTTGCTAACCTTACATTTTAATCGAATTTTCCCTCTCACCTTGTTTTCCCGACCCCTCCCAATCCTACGAGCATCAGTTTCGTTCTCTTGCACTCCACAGACCCAGAAATCAGTCGTCGCAAATAGGCATAGATGGTCTGGAACCCCTTGGAGATGATCTCCTTTGGTGGAGTACGAATAGAGGGGCACTCATCCAGAACTAATCGTTTAAGAGGTAGCCTCCCGGCAAGAGGGGATATGGTCTCTAAACACGGGTTGAAGGAGACTACCAGTTCCTGAAGTTTGTGGAGTTTGCTGATTGCATCGGGGATGTGGGTTATACCTTGGAACTGCAGGTCAAGATATTCTAGATTTTCTAGCTCCAGGATTTCTGCTGGGATACCACTCTCCTCTAAAAATGTAAATTACACAGTAACACAATTGTAGTCTTTGAATAATCACAGTCAACTTAAATTTACATCTTGAAATTTGTGCAATGATTCGAATTTCTTTGCTCATTTTGAAAAACTCTACAGCTTAAGCACTTAATGTATTGATCAAAAATTTTTGTTCAACAAATTTTGAGAGAAATCTTACATGAAAATCTCCTTCTACACATATAATAGTATTTAATGTGTCTTCCCTTTTCATAAGAGAAAATACATACCTTCAGTTCCTCTAAACCTTGGAAATATGTGGAACAAACATGCATTTAGCTTGGCAATCTCTTTTTCATCCAACAGGCCATTGGAGTCTTCATCAAAGAATTCGTATAACGAGGCCTTGTCCTGGAGAAGAAGAGATATAGGTACTCATAAGTGAGAAAATGGCAGCTTTATTTTCCTAAGCTGGCTTTTACTTTATTATTACTTAACAATGTGAAATACTAAATTAGTATGTTAAGTCTAATGACATGATGGTTGTTAGAGTTTAAGAAAATGTCATTACAGTTATTATTATCGTGTGAAAATATGTAATTTCAAGTATTAAAATTAATTGAAGTACTGTGCAAATAAGAATGTTTTTAAGTCTTTTTTTAATACCTCAACACTATTAATAGTCTGAAAGTTTTAGGGTAGTTCATTCCATAAAATGTAATATAAAATACACAAAGAAATGGGACATACCTCCTTATGCATCTCCAGCCACTTGTCAGCATAGGTTCCTTTCAAGAATTCCCCAAAGTCTTCCTGTGACAGAAACCCATTTGGTTTGTGTTTGAACCATGGAAATCCCTCTAAACTGAGAGACTTGAGTTTCTTGAGATTTTTGAAGCTCGAAGGCAGGACCTGCAAGCAATTGTGCTTCAAGGTGAGATAATTCAGGTTTTTCAAGTTGCCAAAATTTTCAGGCAGGCTTGTCAAAAGTAGGTTATTGGCAAGTAAACGCTGCAGGTTTTCAAGGTGGCAAATGACTTCTGGAAGTGAATGGATTGGATTCTCAGAGATTTCTAATCGAAGAGGTTGGTCTTTGAGTTCCAGTAATTCCTCTGGCAGATTCTGTAGATTGTTTTTCTTAACGTTAATTCCACATAGTTTCTTGCACTTTCCAATCCCTTTTGGTAGTATTGAAAGCTTGTTGTGGCTAACATCAAACTCCACCAGAGATGGAAAAGATGGAAAGAAATCTTCCGGCAGTGCCTTGATATCATTCTGGGGGATGCGCAGGGAGCGGATTAGTCTTGTGTAGGAGGTGCCATCTATTTGAAACTTTTCCATGGGAAATTCTGTCAGTCCAGCTTCAAGCAGGTAACAATTAAGATGTGCTTTGCAAAGAAGATGGGTGTCTCCAGTCATTGTTTCATGCTCGTGAAGAATGCCGCCTTCATTAAATGTAGTGATTTCATCTTTGAATATCTAAAATTTAAGTTAGAAATGATCAATTTACTTTGCTTAATTCTAAAACTGTACAGTGTATAGACAGATGCAGCACTTCAATACTTGTATTTAGTACATGCACACAGACCTGTAGACTGGCACGTCTTGCAAATTTAAGTGGAGTTGCAATTTTCATATTGCTTTTTTATCAAAAATATTAATTCATTCTCATTTTCAAACTTAAAAATTCAAAACACATGCATTCTAAAAATAAAAACTATTAACAGGAATCATATTGTCTTAGACTGGTAATCAATGATGTGGAAATGTATAACAGTATTCCTTACATATGCATGGTCTGGCAGGAGCTTGGCCAACACATATTGTCCAAATCCATTGACTTCATGATACAACATTGTCATCATCAAAGACTGGGTGCACAAGTGGATCACTGTCTGGATTAACTCCTCAGCCTGACCAAAGTTGAAACAAAAATAATTTACATAATTTATCGAATATGTGTCATAACCTTGAATAGCATCATCATTAGAGACCATTTAAGCTCAAGACCACCTAAGATTGCACTAGATATTGAGGTGCTTAGAGAAATTTGATTTTTGTCTTTCTCCCCATTATAATAAAAGTCTTGGTCATTCAGGTGGAATGCCCTCTTATATATACACACATATGAATATCTGGGGAATAAAATCCTTGAGTTTCTACATTTGTCACTGTCAATTCTTACAAATAAATTAGTTAAAAACAAAAATTCGCCAAGAAGTGAAGGCTTGACCTACCTCATCTTCAGTAATGTCTAAATCAGGCAGGAGTTTCTTGTGAGATGGTAGATCCACCTGTAAGGGACAAATGGTATATTACATAAAAGCAGGAAAAAATGCATTAAAAAGATAAAAATCACAACACTGATATCAATATGACAGTCAGGGTAAATGAAAACTAACTGACTTAGGCTGGCCTGGAACTTTTTAACTTCTTCTTCATTTTTGATGGTCTTCCAACAGAAAAAAAATAGATACCCATCAATGTAAACTTTAAAATCTGACCGTCTTCCGGAAGATCCAGAAGACTGCCTCAATCCGCCCCTGCCATTGTACAAACACCTTGAATTCTGATAACACCAGAACAACTGATTACAGATAACAAATATAGGTGTCATAATGTTACATACCTTCTGTGATCCCATGATAGCATGACAGGCAATTAAAACTGCCAACATCCCCTGTAAGTTGTCTTCCGGTACTTCAATTCCTGGACTGTCCACCAGATGGAGCTGCCAGTACTTCCCATCCTCCTCTTTAGGCAGTTTATAGTCTGCTCGCACCTTCAACATCTCACCAGCATCTCCTAGAAAAGACATTTTTTTTAATTTAAGAAAAAAGTGGGAAGAAATGGCTAGATGGCCTTATGACAAGGGATCTTTGGAACACTTAAGTCAGGAAACTGCCAAGAAAAGAGGTTAGATTTAAAAGAGTTTCGTGTAAAAGAAAAGGTGTGTCTGTTTAAACATATGTTGATTGATTCCATTCTTTATACAAAGTCTCTACTAAATCAGTGTGATAAACACAGAATCACTTAAAAATTAATCACACTGTCAACCAGGGATTTCCCTAGGAATGGGAGTGCAGGGAGTCAAAAATGTGAATCTGTTAATGGGTCATCAATTAACAGGGAGTTCAACCCAAGTCCAACCAACTCAAAAAGTTGGTACGTGTCAGCCGTCCAGCTGCGTTTGAAAATATAGGTTAGTGGTTGTCCAAATCATGGCTGGACGGCCCTACTGGAGAAAGCCTTGTTCTCAACCTGAATCAAAACAACTGCTTGGCAAGCAATGAGAAAGTCTAATTTGTGCCAAAAATGTCTGTTGTTTTACATACCTCTAGAATAGCACAACTGGTGTAATTTCCTCTCTGTTCCCTTGGTCAAAGCTTCTTGTCGTACATGGGGTAACATCTTAACGAGGTGCTGGTTGACCAAATTAGGGATTATTACCCCAACTACACCTGTAAAGTAATCCATCATTGTTATAACTTAGACCATCATATAACATTTATTAAATGTATGCATAGTGCACGTTTGCATAGTGTATTATCTGTATTGCTAAAGCGAGAATATTTGAGTCAAAATGAAGTTGATCTATTACTCTTTATTAATTAGATTTGTCATATAAAATAATTCTAACAGGGAATGTTTCTATAATAAATTGAGTACGTTCAAGCTGAAGGCATGCCCTCAATCAAATGCATTGTGCTGCTATGATATATATGCACAACTATATGGAACTATATAGTCATCCAAATATATAATATTAACCATATTGTATCAATTAAAATTTAAATTAAAAAAAGAAAGGCTACTATGTGCTTAATTCAAACTTATTAGGGATTAAAATGTGAAAAAGAAACTAACCAGAGTAGTTAAAATCACTCTCTGCAAAAATCTTTTCCTCGACCAGGGGTAGGTTCTGGGCCACAGTGCAAGCAGTTTCTGGAAAAAAAAAAATCCCAAGGTATATATTATAACTCTACCCAAAGAAGACTGTCAACTATATTGTTCAAAGAATAGATCTGACTATAATTATTGTACACTTAAAACTACTCCTTAAAACAGAATAACCTTTAAGCAAAACCCCACACAATATGGAAATATGCACAGAATTTTAACAACCTTGTCCAATAGTTAAATTAATATCAAATAAGATTTCAAATTATTAGCTGGTTAATGGCATATTTTAATTCACAAACTTTTATGTCAGTGGGTTGCAGGTAAAACCAAAAATCCTTAAAAGCTGCAGTTCTTATCACTTACTTGCAGTTCCCTGAAGGAAGTTTCTACACCATTTCTCAAGGCGGCCGTCTGTTTTTGATGAGTAGTAAGGCTTCATGTTGGTGCGCTGAGTCTACAAATGTACAAAAAAAAAGTTTTTGTCTTTTAATATTGATGGGGTTACAGTGGTACAGCTACAACAGCAGTACGTATTTCAGTCCACTGGCATGTCTCCTGGGACCAGTGTTTGCCTCTTAGGAAAATTAGTTGCTGGACCGAAAGTCCAGCCATCTTGAAAAGTAGCTGGACTGAATGTCTGCCAGGTGGGAAAACTTCTCAGCCCGTTCTGAAAGTTGTCAGCCCCGGGCAGACGGTCCAGCCTTAATTTCTAACACTGCCTGGGACCATGGAGACAAGTTTGCATTTTTTTTTATTTGCATGGTTTTGTATTTGCATTCCCTTGATACATGAAACCAAAGTTGAACCATTTTCTCGTGCATGACCTTTACCTTTGTTCTTATCTGGGAATAAACAATAAACAACGTATAAAGTATAGGTGCAAAATACAAGTTTAGACCTTCAAATTTATAAATTTATACCTTACCTCTGAAAACAACCATATTGGTGCTCTTCTGCTGTTCAAATCTTCCTCAGAAAGATCAGCAGATATCAACTCTAAAATAAATCACACATTTGAAAAAATTACATCAATTGTAATATTTGCACAATTGTTGCCTTCTCTGATATATACCACAACTTACAACCGAAGGCTGTAAACATTTCATTTTTTTTTTTTGTCATTTGGCATCTATTTAATACATAACATCTCTGGACATTAAAGCAGCAAAAAGATTTATAAGTACACGGCTCTTACCCATCTTCTTCAGTGAGGTTCCACAAAATTCACAAGATGAAGCTTTTTCCTCATTCTTCCCTTTACATTGGGGACAATCTTCATGCAGGGCTGGAAAATAAATGGTAAATTTTGTAAATATCTTTTCCAGCTTTCAGTATAAATCAAAATGTTTAAGATAAGATCATTACTGTTATTGAAAATACTGTAACAAGAGTGTTTGCAAGATGTACCAATCCAGTAAATATTTACAATGATTTTAGAATGACACACTTATGCAATTATCACCAGCAATTTAAAGCATTTAATTTTTTTTTATTGAAATTATTTTAAAGAAATAATTCTCACCTTCAGTCCAATAGTCATTTGGCTCTTTATTGTAGTATGAATAGTACAAAGGGAATAGTCTGTCACTGTAGGGGCTGATGTTAAAGCTCTCAATGCCCTCAGGTTTCATCACTGAAAATGTTTTTTTTCCCAAAATATTAGTATCAATCTTAAATTATGCTTATTGTAAACAAAAATTAATAAAAATTACAAAACTTTCCAGTAAATTCAAAATGCTTCTACGAAGATTTGATCTCAAGTTTTCAAAAATTTATTTCTGATGGCCCTTCTGTATATTACATTTATGAATTAAGTTCCCTCTTCTATCTCCCCCCCCCCCACCCATGACACACACCCCCAAGGATTCACTTTCTTTATCATATGACATTAGAATATTTATAAATGGAGACCTAGTTTTTACCTGCAGTGTATAACTGGTTGTCATGTGTGGAGGACGACAGCTCCGCCAAGTGGTGGACTCCTGTAGCTGGGTCCTTGATCTCTACCAACATCTCTTCCTTTATCCTCCGAGACGGCGTCAGCTCAGCTTCCTGTTACATGATCATTCAGACTCATTCATTAATTGTTTTTCCTTACATGAAAATTTTAATCTTATATTCTATGTAATTACTTACAATGTCAAATTTATCACCAACTTCGAAAAGGTAAAAATTCCCAGCCATTTTGCTTAAAGAACCCCCATTACCAGGATGCCATTGTCAATTCCACTTTAAACCACAGATTCTGAAACAAGCTGACAGATAATAGGAATGAGCGTCACTGCAGTGACCTCTGAAAGCAAACACGCATTAGTTAGAGCCATTAATACCTTAATTCCAGGTGCATTGACGAAAACCTCAATGCCTTTCCCATGGAAACCTATGGTACCGCACAGGCGCTGAAGGCGTGTCTTCTTTGTGTAGATCACCTCCCCTGCTTTTGAAATTTCTATCTTAACCTTTTCTGTATCCTACAAAACAAGAAGATTTAAATATCAGATTTAGGTATCAGCACAATTCAAAGATGAATATCAGTAGAATATTGAAAAGAAATTATGTTATCATATATGAAAGGAATGTTGGACAGTAAGAATAAGTACGTAGGAATTTGTCTTTATGAAAAATTGGAGAATTCAATTCCCAGAGCATATGAATTCAATTGAATGTACACAGGTCAACTTTAAGGATGTATTTATTTAGTAGCCTGTACTCACCATGGCCTTACACTGGTCATCCCTGTCGAACCTCATCTGGACTCTGACGGTGCACGCCTCTGATACTATCCACTTGCCATCCTTGTGCTCTTTCACTCCTGTCTCCTCGTGGTCTGCTATCACACCAGTTTGCAGGTGATATTCCAGTAAAGGTTTTCCAAAAACCCTGTAACAATATTGAAGTTTGGAAGTATTAAGTGATTAAGAGGAGTTATGAGCAATATTCATGGAGACATTGCTCTACATTCAGGGGCGAATTTAAGCTGTCTTCTGGGTCTTCGGGAAGACGGTCAGATTTTCATGTTTACTTTGACCGGTATCTATTTTTTCTGACGGAAGAGGGTCAAAAATGGAGGATGGATCAACAAAGATAATTTTGAAGACTCTCAGAAAATATCTCTGGATCTGCCCCTGACATTGTACATTTACCTTGCAGGAATACTAAAATGGATCCATGCTTTCTGTATCTGTCACAACATATTTATTTATCTTTTCAAACATATTCATTATATTATTCTGCTATCAATATATCAAAATTTCAAACAGACTGAAACTTGGGTGAACAATGAAATGTGATGATCATAAGAGCATCATAAGAGCTATGGGTATAATGGCAAGTCCTGTGGAAATATGTCATGCTTCTAACCATTTGCACCAGATTGATATTAAGAATATTTGAATATCTTAAAATAGTTGAAAAGCTAGGATGGCAACAAACACCCTACCCAAGGCAAGTAAAGAGAAGCCAAGAGAGTCTCTACACTTCATTATAAAGTATATGAAGTTTTACTGGAAATAGTCTAAAAACATGATGACCGTTTTTTCAAATAATCCAAATGTTGAATGTGATTTTATATAGACATCACTTCCACAAATTCTACCCATACAAAGTTTTCATCTGGCATGAATGTTACATATTAACCTAATTAATAATGGATCTACCGGTACTAGACTAAATTCAAATACTATAAAATTCAAATATATACTGGCTACTCCTGCAAACGTTAACTTGGTTACTCACTTTGACAGACCCACTGTAACCTTATTCCTTTCCATCTCTGCTGGAAGTAGAGTGACCTCAAAGAAGTTGAAATGAACTGGATCTATTGCTGCCCACTTGGTGCCACTTTGAACGTTAAGCCTCCGATTGCTGATGAAGTTGCCGCGACTAAGATTTTCTACAGAAATCACGGAGGACTCATTTATGTCTTCTATCATAGTGAATGGCCGGGAGGAACCAAGGCCAGGCTGTAGGGCAGTTTGAACTTTCTATTTTGAAAAAAAAAATTGTGAATTATAAATTAAATTGAAGATGAATAAAATAACATTAGAAAATATTCTCATGAGAAAATTATAAATAAGTTGAATTATCTGAAAGGTATTGTCAATACCCAAATAAACCTCTAAATGTAACTTTGAAGCAAAATTAAATACATTAGGAAATATTCTCATGAATAATAAGTTGAATTATCTGAAAAGTATTATCAATACTCAAATAAAAACTCTAAATGTAGCTATATAGCCAGGATTAAGCTAATAACATATTAATGCTTAGGTCATGGCATCATCTGAGTCACATTTAACTGCAGATTTATTAAATCTAGACCAATTATACCTACATTTAAATACTTTGTGCACCTTGTACATACTCCACACTTGCTGCACATTTGTGCAGTACGCTGGCACCCACAATGACTGAAAAACATTGACAGACACTTTATTTCACATTTTTACTAAATATTTGCTCCATTATTTCAGGGTATATCAGTATCTTTCTATGAAAGACACTGGCAGACACTTTATACAACATCTTAAATAAAAAAATAGTTTCCAGTGGCTTTTCACTAATCTCTCTCTCTCTCTCTCTCTCTCTCTCTCTCTATATATATATATATATATATATTTGAATACATACTAAATTGTTTCTCCATGTGTTCCATTCTGTGGGCAGTCAATCCCCTCATAGGCACAGTTTCCACACAGAAAACACCTGCTGTAGTCCACATGGGGGCTGGCGTCAAACTTCACCTGGTCCAGGGTATGTGTGGGGGCAATCCCTCCAGGCTTCACAAAACTGAAATCATCTGGAAAACACAGATTTATCTCTAAAAATTGAGTAGCTATTACAAATAAATAAGCATTATATAATGAATTAAAGTTTACCAGTTTTTAAGCAGATATATGACTTGTAGTTTAATAAGTAATGGCTGCTAAGCAGCAAAGGAAAAAAATATGATGCCAAGAAAAAAATCATTATATCCTTTAAAACTCCACCAAGGCCAAAGAATGATCCAATCAAAATTTGCCATATAAATAAATAAATAAATAAATAAATAAATAAATAAATAAAAAATAAATAAATAAATAAATAAATAAATCTCTGCACCACTCACTTGGCCCCAGTATTTCCTCCACCTTAACGTCCGTCTTGCACTGTGCACACTTCAGCCTGGACACGACATTAGTGGCGTCTCTGTTGGACAACATGTTGTGCTGGTAGAACTTCGTCCTGCTGTTACACGTCTCACTGTGTGGGCAGGGAGTGAGAAACTGGATAAAAAATAGTTTCAGAATGTTAAACTTTGATTGTCAGTCTTATAAATAACTATTTTGTGAGAGCAACATAATGTCATGCAACCATTTTCTGTTGTTTTTATTCTACTATCTTCTATGGGGTCTAAATTACAACACCAAGAAGTTGTAAAGTCTTTACAACTTCTTGAGTGCATAAAACATATTTAAATTATACATGATATTTCATACACATTTTCATTCACTTTCACAAAAAAAAAAAAAAAAAAATTAAAAAAAAAAAAAAAAAAAAAAAATTCTGGCATATTCCCTACTTGTTTCTGACAGCTTTTGAAAAAAATAAATAAATAAACAGGAATTACTCACAGTCATTTTAGTATTAAAACAATGCTTTGGAATATCTAATATTAGGTCATACTTTTATAAAAACAGTATTTTCAAAAAAACATCCCTACCTGACAATACACCTTGAACTTCTGGCACACGTACTTCATTATGGTGACATAGGTGAGGAGTGTAGACCACAGGCAGGACATCAGAGCATGCTGATTCCTCACCTCTTCCTCTGCAAACATTTTAGTGGCACGCACTGCAATGTAGATGATGTTAGTATGCTCTGGTAGGGCCTTTGCCTTCAATTCAGCTTCTGCAATGAAAGTATTATCCTAAAATTAATGTATTCCTTTTAATAAATGGTTTTAGGCCACATTCACAACAGTGGACTAACTAGTCTGAGAATCAAATATGGCTACCCTAACAGACACTGAATAGATTTCCAAGTGGGTCAGCCATATCTGACTTGCGGATTAGTTAGTCAATTGTAAATGTGGCATTAAAGGTTATAGGAGTTCCTTATTATGTTGATTTTTTTCCATTGCTTTTAATGCACAAAATATGCAATATTCCATTTTTTATAAGACCCTTTTATAAATAAAGTATTAAATACACTCTGGTACATTATGTTATAAATCAAACATTCCCCTTTCACTGTCATTTAAACAACTGCAACATTTTAATCAAAAAGCCTAGCAAAAAACACATGCTTTCAAACAGTATATCAAGTTCAATGACAATTAACCTATTTCATCATCATCATCATCATCTTCCAGCAGAGATGATTTCAGTTTAGAGTTAGCTTGTTTTATTGGAGCTTTCTTCATTGGAGCTTTCTTCTTCCCCCCTTTTTTCTTCATCGGTCCCTTTTTCATTGGTGTCTTCAATCTAATTGGTTCCAAGAACTCCTCTAAAATGAAATTCACACATCATATACAGCATCAGCATATATCAATTGCAGACATGACTAAGTTTAAACATAAATTGTCACTTATATACATTTTTCAAATATTATTCATTACAAATAAATTAAACATTTTGAATTATCAACTAGAGTATTTTATCTCCACACTGTGTCCATCCTTGTCATTCGTTATTATGCCCAAGGTCCATCTTAGATGGATAACATGGATTAAGTTTTGAGAGGTCACTAGATGGCAGCAGTTATCAAGAATAGCCAAATTCTGCTGACCCCAGCAAAAGAGAAGGAAAACAACTGGTATGATACAGTGGTGTCATCTGGCAGTTCTTACCCAGTTCGTATCCTGTGGTTTCTCTTCTCTCAATCAGTAAGGTGACTGCCCCATGCTGTGCAAGGAGGCCATTTTGCCATAGCACTGGATTCGCAGCAATTTTAGAGCACTCCCTGATTGGACAAATTCAGAGCCATTACAACAACAAAACTGTCTGCCACAGAATATTGGTTAGATTATAGCGAAAAAATTTGGGGAGGACAAAACGTAAGCCTTTTGATGGCATATGAGCATTTTTACATCACAAACAGGCCTGTGTTTCTGTGCATAAGGTTAACATTAAGGTTAACATATCTTAAGTTGAAAATGCCAATAATGGTCTCAGATAGAGCATAATGTTATGGTAATGTAGGGGAAAAAAGAAAAAAAAAGAAAATTGATTTTTGCTTCATGACTGTCTTAGTGCTCATTTTCCAAAGAAACTATTGCTCCATGCTGATCAATTCTACTCCACAGGGCTACCGCTAATACAATCAGTTCATTAAATTAACATGCCTTCTTTTATTTCCACCATACTCTCATACTCAGCAACTTTTCAGTATTCTACTAAACACCAGGGGGCAGCATGATAATTGATTTGTTAATGTGATTGCATTCAGCGAGAGTCCATGCAGAATTGGACCAATCTACATAAAACAATAGTGTCATTGAAAATGAGCCCAAATCACCTGAGAAGCACTGGAAAGAACCCCAATGGGATATCTTCAACGATCACACAGCCTTTAGACAACTGGACTTCATTGCTATCTGGGCAGTCTGACCAGCAGTATTCCTGAATAATATTAAGCACTTAATAACTATTTCTCAAATCATATGGACATGACTCAGTTTTTATTATTTATACCAACAATACAATATTAAAAATCTTTTTAACATGAGAAAGAAAAGAATTTCTATTTGTTACTGAATTTATCTAAAAATAAACCACTTTTTCAATGATCAAAAGAACCCTTCACAAACTAGACTAAGTGTAACACACTGCTAGTATACAAGAACAAATATATAAATATATAAATACAAATATACAAGTTATTTGGACAGCTCCTGAGGAAAAAAAATCCTAAAAAGACTGAAAGCTATAAACCCTAATTCAACATAAGGGTCATTCCCAGTGAAACTATCATTCTAAGTAGATCAATCCACTTGTCTCCAACATTTTCATATAATCACCGGCTTTTCTGTATTCTTATCAATGCCAGGAGAGGCATGTTCAGTTGTTAATGAGATAGCATTCAGGGAGAGTCCCCCCAAAAGTTGGATTGATCTAAGTAGAACAATAGTTGCATTGGGAATGAGAACTTAGTTTACCATTGGTATATCTGGTTCTGCTGGCAATTTAGGGACCAGCAAATACTGCTGTGGCCTTTGGATGAGAATTCCACATTTCTCCAGTAATTTGAAAAGCATGGCCGTCTAAAATGAAAAATTAAAAGCAAATTTTATTCATGATTACTTTACTACAGCATTTAAAGAGAGGTATAATTATTATGATCATAACTCTATTGTGAAAGAGCTTGGGTCTTTAAACAACTGCAATGAAGGCATAAATAGGCAAACCTGAGATTCTGAAATCCAATTTCAATACTAGGAAATATAAAAACCTTAGTATCAGACATCTTCTCTTGGTCATAGGGGATCTTGCCGTCACCGTGAGAGACAATTTTGTTGAGTTCAGTCTTCAGCCAGGAGAAATCTATGATAACTGGTTGATGTCTCATATCAGGGAAATACAGACACTGGCCCTACAAGAAGAGAGACGTGCCTTTATAATTACTTAAAATTTAAGTAATCGAAATTTGTAAATAAATAAAATGTATTAAAATGCACAATACTCGATCTATTTGAGAGATATTCAAATGTAACTTTAAATTTAAATTTTCACTTCTTAAAGAAAGATTCAACTGTTCAAACCAAATTCAACTCATGAGATGTTCTTCAGTTACCTGTTTGCACATCCGTTCAATGGCCTTCTGGTATTGCCAGTACGTTGGGCCAGTGTCAAAGGGCGTATCTTCTTCTTCTCCTATCTTGGCACTACTGGGCGACTTCTCCTCTACAGAACTGGACAACTTACAGCCCTCAAGATCTGCCAACAATGCCTGATATAGCTCGGAGAAAGCCCATATTCCCTGCTTGGTTCCTAACCGTTGAACGGCACCCGTAACTGCTATCAACTCTGGGGAACTAATCCAGTTGACCCGTGGGTAAAATCTGACCAGTTGCGCCATTTTTCTCCAGAATTGTTGAACACATCCCTAAAGAAGAAAATGAAAGTAACAGATTTTTTGAGGGAGCTAAATTGTATAGAGTTAATGTCATAATAATTACTAAAACTCACGAAAATGAAAGTGAATATCATAATAAAATTTGCAGAAGCATCTCATAATGTTACTACGTATGTGAAAGAAAAGGCCCAATGCACACCCCCTATCATTTAATAGCAAATAAAAATCACTTGATTACAATAATGATTTTCAGAAATGCTGGTGATTAATGTTAGTCTTACTATTAATTATCGTATCTCGATGAAAGGGCCCTAGTAAACAACTTATTTTCATTTGTTATTTTATCACTTGCCTTTTCATCAAGATTAAGATTAATGATGCTTGGTGCCACCCTGTTCATACGAAGGATTTCATAGTCCATGTGTTCCTGTTGGCACCTGAATTTGAAGTTCTGAACAGTTCCGGGGGCAAGAAGAAACCTTCATGAAAAATAGAGTTCACAATATCTGATTAAAACTAAGTATATCCATTGCATTATGATGAATTATTTTGTGCAAAAAAAAAAATAATAAATAAATAAATAAATAAATTTAAAAAAAAAGATAAGAAGAGAATCACTTGTGCAATAATGAGAATTAATTTTAACTGAAATTAGAAGGTGGGGTCATAACTAAAATAAATATATAAATAAGTAAATAAATCTGATTTAACAGAACAACAAAAAATGAAATAATAGAACAATCATAAAAACAACAAATGAATAAAATTAACTAAAAAGTAAATAAACAAGGACATATCATAAAACTATCAAATGCAAAAACATGTACCTCCATAATAATGGCTTTATTTAAAGAAGAAAAATTTAAAACATATAGCTCAAACTAAACACAAACTGTGCCACTGTAAAGTAAAAAGAAGATAAAACAAGTCCATTTAACTCACTCTTCATCTTGTAGGACTTTTTCCAATAGCACATCTGGCCACCAACTTCTAAAAAGTTTTTCAACAGCACTATCATCTGGGTGCTTGTCCTTCTCTTCCTTTCTTCCATCCGAGATGCATGCAAACACAATTTGGAGAGGCTGCTCAAAGTTATGAAAAAAATGAGACAAGATAACAAATGAATAAAATAAAAATCAATGAAGCACAATAAATTTATCATCTATTAAATAATATTTAGCATAATTCTGATGAAAGTAATTGAATGTTACAAAAGCTAGGATGCGTAATCATTCTGGAACATAAATAATTTTTCAAACCATTTCCTAAAATATGCTAATTCTTTTTGTCCTTTTCAAAATTTTATTCTCAGAGATAAGGTGTGCACTACCGTATATGTGTATGCTGCTTATATATAAATAACAATTATACATCAGTACATATTTGTACCTTGTACTTGCTCAGCTGTATGTGTCTTGACAAAATCCATTTCTGGACCTCATCCTGTGATGAGAACTTGGACAGCAGGAACGGAATGACTATAAGGTTGCTCTCAGATAAAAACAAATGTTCAAATCCCTAGAATCAGAAAAAAAAAAACAATTATTGAATTTATCAATAAATTTATCAGGCCTACCCAACTACCAGACTCAGCATCAAATGATCCCCAATTCACCTGCAGACTGGACCACACTACCCGTTTTCAAGGTGTTATCATACCCCGGAATCTGGTAGTTGGGTATAGGCCTGTCTATCATTCAACTATTTTATCTATAAATCAGTCAACTGAAGTGTCAATCAAATAAAACCACCCTGTCACTCAAAGCAGATCAATAAGCTTTATTTCAGATTCTAATTGTAAATTCAATTTCTCCAGCAGGTTTGGTGCAGGAATAAAGTGGTTTACTAAAATTGGCCAGTGTTAGAAATGTGCATAATTATAATCCCTAATATTCCCCCATAATGTACTTTTTTGTGAAAATTACTATTTTTAACAAAAATGCAAAAAAGAATGAGAGCTGCTTAAGGTGGGAAACCAATAACAAAAAATAAATAAAATAATAATAATAAAAATAAATAAATAAAATAAAATAAACAAAAACAGATTTCTTATTTATTCAAATCATGAAAAATGTCTGTTTGAAAGCCACACAAACTGTACCTGATAACCTTCACTTATCTCCAAAATGTTATAACTAGCATGATCCCAGCTTCTTCCATCAGGAGTATTAATAGGAAAATTCACTTCACAGGCTGGCAGATAGTGAAATGGCTCCTGGCTTTCTTTTTTCTCCCCAGTTTCCAGCCAGTGTGTAAAACCAAATGGTGTGTACATATTCAGGACAACCATATTCATCATCACTTTGTGATTTGCAGTCAGCTCTCTCAGATAACCTATGAGGACCAGTGAACCAATTTGTTACTAGAATGATGCAATTGTGACTATTTTTATAATAACCACAAAATATAAAACATTGTTAAAAAGAAAAAGAGTAAATAAATATAATTTATGTTAATTGTTAATTTGTATAAATATCTTAGACACTGTCCATTTGACCCCATCCACCCATCAATCTATCCATCCCTCATTCATTCCTTCATTCATTCATTCATTCATTCATTCATTCATTCATTCATCCATCCATCAATTAATTTATTCATCCATTTGCTTCTAACTTTCTATTCACCTCTTAACTCTGATTCTCTTCCAATGTCCCCACTTGTAATGCTGTGAAGAATGCCCCGATTGCTTGGAAAGGGTGTGTGTAAAGGGCATCCCTCCAAGTTCACATGTTTCAACTGTGGGTGGTCCTTGAGACTGAAGGTGACCACGGACACTGCCGTGGCTTTCATAGAGATGACCTCTATTTCTTCGAGGTCAAGCAGGTAGAGTAAAGACATCTCTGTCAGCAGAGGGCAGGCATCCAATACAACCTGAAGGTAAGATTTATACTATTAAATTCCTAAATTATGTAAAATTTAAAGAGTCAGTTAAATACAAAGCAGAAACAATACATTGTTAGTTAGTTTATTTCAAAATAATATATTGAAAAAAAAAAACAGTTTTTGATGATGAGATACACTATGGTCACATCAGCCACCGAGAAAAAAAGCAGAGTTAAACATAGACTAACGGACATATAATGCTCCAACAATGAATTGGGAGATTTCTTATATGTAGTACATGTAGTAAGACTTAGTGTAGGTCCACCAGACCTTCAGTATCTTCAAAGTTTTCCCCATGTCTACAAAAAATCACTTATCTTACCTCTTTGAGATACTTGAATGTGTGGACCATACGCAAAATACCCTCATCAGTAAGATATCTGCAACCTAGAAAATAAAATTATTAATTTATATTAAACAACAGTTGTTACTTTGTGTATCTTTTGAAAGATCAATCAACTGTTTTAAGTGTTTGCTTATGCTCATATACTACTTTAAAGCCAAATATTTTTGGAAATCAGTGAAATTTAAAAATATCATATATTTTTTTAGTAGTATTAGTTAGATTCAAACAATGCTAAGCTCTGCTGTGAAAAATGCAAAGTATTATATATCACTGACTTGAAAAAAATGTTTGATTTTTAAGAGTGAATATGTAGTGGATTTAGATTAAACTTCCATCATCAAATGCTTTAACATTATTTTTATTCTCAGTGAATTTTAAAAAAGGCACTCACTCACATGGGTTTATTAAAATTAAAATTAGCATATATCATACATCAGTCAAAAGACTATAATGACAAATTAATGATTCACTTAATAAAAAAAGAACAATAAAAAAGAAATGATTTTCCCTATAAACTTTGCTAATCACTGGTCTCTTCCAAATGTGAACCTAGCACAATAACTTTCTAAATTTGACAACTAAATAAATGAATTTTCCCAGGATTGTTTTGTAAGTCATAAACAGAACATGATTTTAAGGAACAAATGGGGTTCACCCAAGATGGTATATTTTTCAAAAAAAAAAAATAAATAAATAAATAAATGAATAAATAAATAAAATAAAATTTAAAAAAAAAAATAATAATAATAAAGAAATAAATAAAGAGTTAACAGTAAGTGAGTGATAAAAATCAACATACCACTACAATCAATTGCGGTGACTGTGAATGCTGCTTCCAAAGACTCTTCTTCATTACGGCGCATCAAGTACTCAAATACGAAGTCCGTCATCATATCTAACCCCTTAAAGTCAAGAACGCTGGGAGGGGGCAAAGTTCTTTCTATTACTTTCTGAAAAGTTGCAAGATACAAAATGTAAACATTGCATTTATAGCAAAATTACTGACAGATGAAAGAAATAACTTTTTTTTTTTCAAAACCGACCCAAATCTTCATATTTTCTATTCAAACAATCTTAACTTATTTGTCAAAGTATGTAGTAGACTTACATTACTACACTGTAAAATAGGACAGACCATAGGGCTGATCTGCATATGTATTTGCCTATCAGGTATATGGTATATTTACTCTGAAACATAACTACAGTAGGTATCCTAAAATAACATTCAGAAATAACTTCAATGTTCACTTTAACCCAAAACCCCAAGTACAATGGCCAAAAAGTGAAAATTGAGACCCATATCAAAGCTACCCATCATCCCCTGGCCTGCTTACCACAATTGATTCTACTGGCAAATAGTGGATGGCCTCTTCTGGAAACTTTTTGTACTCTGCTTGATTAAAATCTTCATAAAATTCTTTAAATCCGATGCCTACAAGTAGAAATGTCATGTCAAGAAATTACCTACACTTATGTTTAATTTATCGAATGATTGATATATATATATCATGCCGTGTCCTCTCAGCCTATAAGCATCAACTGAAACAACTTAGTACATACAGCTTTAAACAAAGAAGTACACTGTATATCAACTGCAATACCAAATATATGTGAAAAAGAAAAATATTTTTTGCACTGACAATTCACCAATCATCTTTATTACCTTGTCTTCTGCGTCCCTGGTTTAGATCTACTTTTTTCAAATTTTTCTTTGTGAACATCAGTTCTGATGGATCAACTCGCCTATTTCCCCTTTCCCCTTTAAAAAGGACAAAATATGTAATTTAAGAAATAAAAGTGTTCCTTTTTTATTCTAACATACTATTTATACAATCATGTATCCCTTGCCACTCTCATTTTTATCTGTATTTAACCAAAAAAACATTTATTTCTTAAAACAAAATGAATAAAAACATATTCTTACTACACAATCAAACTAGTTATTTTGATCTTCATTAGGCAAATACCCAGATAGCATACAGCTTCTGACAATAGAACCCACCAGACTGAGCAGCTCCCGCAAGATCTCCAAACTCGGTAAACACATTGCTAAATCCCTGAATTAAGTTCGCTGAAATGAAAACAATAAACTTATCAGAAGTATCAAGCAATTGCAATTATTATGGTTAAAAGATCAAATCTTTCAAATTATTCTTAGGTGAAGGTGTCTTAAATGGCAGAAACAAAGGCATTTGAGTTACTGACATTATTATCATAGTCTAAGACCAAGAACAAACCTGTGGCAGCTTGCTGCTGCACTTGTTGAGACTGCGGATATTTCTGCTCCTGTGCTGCAACATTCAACATGTCACCAAAGCCACTAAATATATTAGCTGTAAAGACACAACAAGCAATATCATAGTGAAAAAATCTTAACTGCAATAAAATTTCACAAGTCTGAAACCAAAGAATTTTTGGGCATATTTCAGTTTTATTCAGTATTTTTACTAAGTTACCAATACATATTAAGCACTCAACAAACTATGCAAGCTCATTTGTCAACTTCGGTACTTCTGTAAGCATAAATTTTATAAATATTCAGTTGAACCCATCTCTGCTCACCACAGCAAGTGGTGAAATCTGCACCACTGTTAATATTGTGATAAAGATATAAGATCTTATCATGTGATACGATAATTTACAAGTTAGAAACACTAAAAATTAACAGTGATCATACCAAACGGGTTCCCCTGTGCTTGCAATTCCTCAGGTTCTTCAGCTAAAACCAAGATTACAGTAATTACTAACAATACATCAAATATTATAACTACTTACTAGTATACAAGTTCATTATTTTTGAAAAATTATCATTTTAGTTACACATATAAATACTAAATATTTACTGACATTTTAGTGACAGCAATTACTTTATATCAAAATTTTACTGAATGCCAACGGGTTGTTTATTGTTGGAAGACCTGGGAACAATTCTCACTCGGGGCAGTTACTAGTATGGGTGCAATGGCCTAGTTATAAATGGCACCAGGACCAGTGCAAGTGCTACATATGTCATCAAAATACTCTCAATGGATCTTAACCCCATAGCGCCGGGAACCGCACATATGCGGTTCATTTTAAAAAGTCCTCAGTGCCGGGAACCGCATATACGCGGTTTCTGTGTTTACATGCTTGTATTGTCCCCTGTCTTTTGTAACAATTCATGCTTCTATCACAAAGCTAACTTAATGTTAGTTTTTTGTTTACTACCGGCTTTTGAAAGACGTGTAGCGAGAATTAAATAATGAAAAAGCGGTTTATTTCAATCATTGTTGAGGCCCTACGAAGTCATAATGGCGGCGAGAAGTCAGCAGAAGTTATGGGTTGAGAAATGTTTTAGATTTGTTAGAAAATTCAGACTTCGGGAAGAGTCCTTGATAGATTTTGATACTCCGATAACTTCAAAGATGATGTAACTTTGCCGAGTATGAGTTGTCAGAGAGCAGATTCGGACGTGGGGCTTGATTTATGAAAAACGCTGATGATACTAACGGCAGTAACCAAGCAGACGACAATAGTAATTGGAATGGCTATATCGCTGATAAAATGACTGTAACCGTGGCAAGTCAGACTAAATGTTGCCTTGTGTGCTGCATCAACGTGTCTTTTTCTGCTTGTGTATAAATACAAATGTCATATGTTACGTTGAACTGCATCAAGATGTCTTTTCCTGCTTATGTCTAAGTACAAATGACATATGTTTACTTGTGTGTTACATCAACACGTCTTTTCCTGCTTGTGTATAAATACAGATGTAATATGTTTACTAGTGCGCTGTATCAACATATCTTTTCCTGCTTGTGTATTACAAATGCCAAATGTACAAATGCCACGTTTACTTGTATTTTTATGATGCAATTTTTATTCACGAAAGTGTAATATTTACTCATGATAATGTTTGTATTCTTGTACATGGTTTGAGTGCTAAACAAAATTTTATGAGTATCCTGGTTCAGTTGATTAAAAAAACTATGAAAAACTATCGTAAAAAGCACTAAATTTACAGTCTTTTTGTAATTATTAAAGTAATTAGGTGGAAGTCTTCTAGTCAGCTAGCCTGCCTGTATATTGTGCAACTCTCTGACGTGATGCAAGTTTTTAGGTACAGCACACATCCCAGAAAATTTATTATATCTCAAAAACTAAATAAGATATCTTTCTGAAATTTTGTGACATTGTTTAAGATATATTTCAAATGTTTATGAGAAAATTTCAACAAATTATTTGGTAAAGTGAAAAAGAATGTGCATGCTGAAATTAAAGTTTTGTTTTTTACTTCTCTTCGAGAAAAGCAAGTCTCATATTTAAACTCCTGCTATTTCTACCTAAGTTAACAAATGTGAATAAAACTGATATGACTTTAAAGCTCACATTCTTGGCTTTCTAAAAATGTACAGTTTATAGGTGTTTTTTAAAGAAGTGAATGCATTATCATTGATTAAATGAGGCCGCCTGAAAAATTGAGTGCATCTGGGTAGAGGGCTCAGGACCAAGGGCACTTTCTAGGTCAGATGCTGCCAGGCTCTATGGGGTTAATTATAGTCAATTATCTTATAATTTCGAGATCACGTAAAACAAATGAAGCAGTTATTGACTTTGAATTTTGTTACCTCTTGACTACGTTCAACCCTAAACTGGGATAATTACTAATCCAAATCCAAATAGCTTTTAAAGCACATTCACTTTAACACCAGTTTAAAAATATATATAATGATAAAAAATTTTAATCAAAAGTCTACATACTCTCTCCATACATGTCATCATCGTCAGCTTCTTCACCTTCCACATACTCTTCTGGATCATAAAAGGATAAAACCATGATTCTTAATAAATACATTTTACAATATAAACTATTAGTAGGCTAAGTTTTATCTTATTTGAACCATATATGGACATTTAGTTTTGCAACACATTCACATTAACATCAGTTTAAATAAAAACGAAAAATGATAAAAATAAAAATAAAAATGTCTACATGTACATACCCTCTAGATTATACAAGTCATCTTCAAAATCTTCCTGGTTATTTACATTCTCTTCTATATCATAAAAGGATATAAATATGAATCTTAATAAATTAAACAATATAGACTAAGCTAAATTTTATCCTACTAACCACATGTGAACAGTGAACCAACAGTTCTGCAACAGTCATGTGCTAGTATAGTGTTTCATTAATTTAGCGAAAAGACCTGAGCCTCTCAAAGTCAACAACGAAATCAAGAAAATTTGGTACTTTCATGTTTACCCAGAACATCTGAGCCCTCAAACCCAAGCTCATTCAGCATGCATGAATTAAAAAGAAAGGTAATTTCCAAAAAAGGAAAAGTTCTGAGTATATATGGTCGACATCTCTTATTATGGGTTGTAATTTATGAAATACTGATTTTTCTTTCAGTTTGCAAATTTATTTCTAGGCAGTCTCAACTGAATGTCCATTTCACTAACATTGCTTACAATTAACTTGATTTTAAAGAAAATATCAGTCTTGAGAATAACAAGATTGCAAACCTAATCTAAAGTCGTCACTAACAGTTATCTGTATTGCACTATATATATATACATCAGTCTGTCAGTTAGAGTTGGACTAGTAGTAAGCAAATATTTACCTGACAATATGTCTTCAAACTCATTTCTCTCTTCCTCTGCCATTTTGATAGTGAAGAGTATTCAGCTCACCTCTGTGAACAATTTGAATTTGATTATTACACAGTTTGTGACAAAAATTTTTAAACTGCTAAGCACTCTCAGATTTTTACGCAACTAAAAGAAATTTATTAGCAAGTCTAAGAGCAACACTGAAATAATTTTCATATCACCCTCCCCTTATTTTTTAGAACTTTATTACAGTTATACTGCTGTTTGAATAACAAACTTAAATTTCACTGCTTTTCAGTATTGTTAACCATCAGACTCTACTAGTACATATTATGTTTAGGTTAAGATATCCATTTTGACCTTGCCAGCCAGAATTACTATGGATTTAAATGTCCCTATGCAAAATCATGGAGGCAATAGGCAAAACCTATATGCTTTGGACAGCCATTGATCCAGACTTCCAAGTCACCAGATACGGTAACTGAATTTAGAAGAAAATAACATCACAAACTTTATATACATGTACTTCTCTTTGTGCACATAAACAGAAAAACGGTAGACACTTATCTGAACTAAGCTGCAGGTATACCTAAGGCAAAAGTCATTCAAAGTGAAAGTTATTTACTGACACCAAGGTCAGCCATTAGTTTACCTTAGCGCTTAGAGATGACCCAGTTTTCACAAGGTGTCAATTTCAGATCTTCCTCGGTGCTTTTAACAAACTTTTAAATAATTTCCAAGACATCATTCGACAATCATCGTTATGCTTATTCGGTATCCCGTCTGTAATTTTTTTTAAATCACTTCAGCATGCTTGAAAGCGCACTGCCCATCTTCATATCTGTTTGACCTTGCTGCTTGGTCACCTCAATGCTGACACTGCCATCTAGCGGAAAGACACACATGTACTTCCGGTAATAAGAAAACATACAGGTGCACGTGAAAATTAGAAAAACGCAAGTGAATTGAGTGAGCTGGATGTTTCCTCATGTAGTATTGTGCCACACCACAAGATGCGTTAGGAAAGGGCGATATGTGGTCACGAATATTTCTACAGTAATCATCTGTTCAATTTTTGTATAAAACATTTAAATTTTTTATTTAAACTTGTAAAACTTACTGCTAAAAGAAGGAAAGCTTCAAAGACGACGCAGATCTGAGAGGCACTTCGGCTGATTACTACTGATAACTACATGTAGCTCTAGCCTTTGGCTGTAGATGGCATACTTAACATGTACAAATACAGAACAAAAGCTTTATAGATTAAACTCTAGTTAATAGTTATTTGAGCCTTTTGATTATAAATTATAAAATGTATAAATTGCATTAAAAATTGCATTTACAAGTTCTAATTGTGTAAGATTAAATTACTCATGATGATGATCTATTATTTCAGGCATCAGTGTCCACTATTGGCAAATATAATAGAGACCTTCTGCAAATTCGACTACTACGAGATAAAGAAAAGGATATTGTATGGGATTTTGTAACGAAGAACCTCAAAAGCCATCTCACCTTCGCTTTTATGAAAAAAATAATTTTAAGCCCTGCAAACGCCTGTGCTGTGCCAATTTCATCACTCATCACTTATGCATTGACTCAGAGTATTCAGGGTTCTTTAATTGTAACACTACTGCTCTCTTTATCTTTACCCTACATACTTTTTCAACACGTTTATAACAAGTACGAGGAACAGTATAGAGGGAAAAGCCAACTTGTTTGCTTATTACACTCGCCCAGGATGCGCATTCTGGGTTGCAACTTGTAACAATAAAATTGTAGGAACGGCAGGTATATGTAAGAAGTCAGACAGCAGAGCAGAGCTCAGAAGAATGAGCGTAGAGGCAACTTTTCGACACAAAGGGATAGCAGAGGCGCTGACCCAAAAAGCTGTGGATTTTAGCAGGAAAAATGGATATGATGACATAGTCCTGTTTACTTCCGATGCTCAGTTACCAGCTTTGAAGTTGTATAATAAATGTGGGTTCAGAGTAGACAAACATGTAGAAAACACATATTTGATGGGGTTGGTATCTTACAATGTGCATAGATTGAGGATGAGTCTCAAGTAATTTGAATTTTAGAGTTGTGCAGGTCAGAAAGGAAGTTCCTTTACACTTGGTCATGGTCACTCGTGTGGTGAGATAATTTTACCATTTTAAGCCCTCTTTTCTTTGAGTGGTATAATTGCCTGTAACAACCACCCTGAGAGATTGGCAACAGTTACTTGAAAGCCCAGCTTATGCTATAATGAACTGGGGTCACCTAAATGGAGCATACATAGGCTGTAACTAAACAGCAGCAAGTGAACCAGTGGAGAACTTGTACCCTTACCAGGGTCACAGGTCGATTTTTCACTAGATATTTACAGATATGCCACTGGTTAATTCATGGCGCTTTTCTGCATACTGTGCGTTAGAGAAATGTGTACATAATTAATCTGTGGCCCTGGTAGAGGGCAGAGAACTTGTGGGAGTAAACCCACCCTGTAGTGTAGCAAAATTAGATGTCCCAACATATAATTTTTCAGTACCCCAGTGAACTGACAATCAGCTGAGTGTGCTACTCGACATGAAGTTGAACTTACTTTTCCAAGCCATTTCAAGTCTGATGCTAGCATGTTTAATAAAAAAAAAAAAAACTCAATGTGCTATTTTGTTAACAGGATTGTTTGATTCACCAAAATTTGATTTTGGAATTTGTTGGGAAAACTATCAAGAATTTTTGTATTTCCTCCACATTTATTTAGTTTAAACATGAAAAATTAGAAATGTTGGACTTAATAATAATGAAAAAATTCAAAAAGCATCTCTCAGTCTGACAAAGTTTAACATACACCAGATGTTATAAATATGATAAAATGCATCAAACTCCTGTTTTTAAGTTAAGTGTGATACTCCACTTGAGATGAGGCTTTAGCTAAAGATGGAAGTTGTAAACTGAGTCAAGATTCTTAGAGCTTTCTAAGAAAGAAGATTGCACTCGCTCTTCCCCTTATACCTGAATTATTGATTTCAACTTCTCTATTGAAACAGATCTTTCATTTGTTATTTGCTAATAAGAATGTCTTCCTGTAACTCTTAACAGATTTTCCAGTCTGAAAGTATCTCAATTAGATGGAGACAACAGCCTAAGCATTTTCAAGTGTTAAAATAGCAAAGATAGTATTTTTGGTAGTATGTAGGATACCAAGTTCACCATCAGTATTTTGCAACTATGTCCAACTAGCCAATAAATATGTTAATTTTTTTAAGGATGTCCATGATTTTTATACATGTTTTTACCCATAAAGACAATTTCATAAGCAAACTTATTTTAAGTTCAATATTTATTCTTTAAAAACATATTTATGTAACATCATAATTGGAATAAACAATAGAATTCCATATAATAAGAAGCCACAAAAATTCTCATAAAATAACCTTGAATTTTTTAAGTGAATATACCAACCTCCCATTTTCTCCCATCTTGCCCACAAAATAAGCATCATCATTTCTCTTTCAATGATTTCTAAAGCCACACTTTTCCCTCTAAAGCCCACAGAACAGTCTGCTACCATCTCACCAGTTTTCATCATTCAGTTATGAAGACAAATCAAATATTTTTTCCTTAAACATATTTAAGTCTCTTCCAATATTAACAAGTCAAATTTTGCTCCTAGGTTAAAAATTTAAGTAAAGGATTGGAATTATTGAAATGTAATTGGCTAATAATTCTTATTTCTTTAGGGTGTTGCTATGAAATGACATACAATTCGTGTCTGCACTTATGAAATGGGCTTTAAGATTATTTTGGGTAGCACTACTGATTGCCTTGTTTCCTCACTTAAATAATATTCTTAATTTTCTAAATATAGCAATGTAAGGATAAAAAACTGTAAAAATGACTCGCTGTCTTACAGACTAATATTGACACATGAATTAAAAAAGCAAGAAAATGAAGATAATTTCACATTCACTGCTTTCTGGGTTTCTGTTGTTCTATAATTTTTCATTAAAAATTGAGATCAGTTAGTAATAGGAAGCAATAAATCATACATTCCAATCTGACAGTCTAAATCCTGAGCTCTTTGAATATGCAATGCGATGTTTACCCATATTTTCTTCTTAATCCTGTGATGAAACATTTCCTTTTTGCTCACTCACGACTCCCTTAATAAATAAATAAATAAATAAATAAATAAATAAATAAATAAGCAAATAATCATCAATATTTTACCTTAATTACATTTTCATTTACATTTTGGAAATACAAAATTAAAAACAAATAATCCAAGGATAATGATGAAGTGTAACGTAACCAAAAATTTCTCGATGGATGTATCCATCTACAACTGGGAGGAACTCAAACGCTCATCAACCCACTTTGTTCTAATAAGACGTGAAAATTTTCTCTACTGGTAAAAACCAAGGTTGTCTCTCACACTTAATTCAATCTTTAAAAAATGTGGTGGAAATTGCTGCCCATCATGTACAGATAAACAAGATATTCACGAGTCCTTAGATAACATGATTACATGAGAATAAATACAAATAGGACTTGAAATAAAACCCTCACACGGAGGTCTTCGTTCAAGTGGTATATGTACAGTCATCAACTTTGAATGTCTCAAAATCAGCCAACAGTTATTAGTCAGGCTCGTCATGTTCATTCACTTACTCTATCAAAATCTCACTTCAATACCATCCCAGCCTCACTCTGGTGAAGATCATGTGTGACTTAGTGTGTCAACATCAGCTGATATCGAGGCTAATTTCTTGATTTAGAAGTAAACAATCATCACCTTCATGTAGAACAATGGAGGGGGTCCACTCTGAACCATGAGAAAGGCACATCTATATTCACATGCTGGGGACTTCCCTGTATCATCAAACAATGTATCCTTGACCTGGCATGATCCTTAAGCAAGCAGTAAAGAGCAATAAACTAGATGCGACAAAAATGCAACCAAACCAACTGACCATAAAGAGCAGAGATGAAAATAAAAATGAATAATGAAAATTTTTATCTGTGGCTCATTAACCAACAACTTACGGTCGTTTTTGTAAAAAGCCAGTGAAATTCTAGTGTTTCATTTACTGATGGGTTATTTTTGCCACATTATACCTTGACCACTTTGCTTTGAAGCTGCTCGCAAAACAGTTCTCTGAATTGGAAGGCTGAAATTCTTATCTTTGAGAGTATGATTGGCATGTACATAATGTCTAGTTTAAACTTAAATTTCTTACTAAACTCTTTCCAATTCTTCAAACTGGTTTCCTATTTAATAACATACACATGTCCCTATTACCATTCAGAATAAGCAACCTTACAAGGATTGCTATCAATGAACACATGGTATTAAATGCTTACTCTACAGTATAACAACAGGGCCTCTTAAAAATATGATCTACACTCCTTTCCAAGCCAAGAATGTGCATCCAGTATTGTCCAAAATAATAGATTCTATAATGAAATAAAATCCTATTTGACCAAAGCAATATTCATATATTATGTGCAAAAATACAGCTGCATTAAAATTGACCCGTCCAGATTATTGTCCTTAACTTCCAGTTGTCTGAGCCCCACTAAGACATCCCTGGCATCATAGGTCCCGGCATCCCTGCTGCTCCTGGCATCCCACCATGGGACACTGGCATCCCAGGATGCATCCCTGCGATGGAGGCCATGCCAGGCTGAGCGGCGCCTTGAGGTGGTACCATACTGGCATGTTGAGCACCCCCCTCCACCTGGGTTGCTGATGGCGCCAGCAGCTCATTGAAGGCAGACTCCACGCACCTCTTTAATTCTGCATATGTGACGACAATGACACTCTGCTCATCACGGGACATCAGGCAGATCTTTTCTGGAACTCCAGCATCAAGCTGAAATTGGAGAGGACAGCGATATACATGGAATATGCAGGAGTGGCACATGCATTTTATTACATGTATGTTAATCATGGGTGTTTAACAACACAGATTTGAATTCAACAATCATATTGAGAAAATAAGACTTGAATTACCAGCTACAGGTTTTTTTTTCTGAATGGTTAAACTCTCCTTTACGCAGCCACTAACACAATATTACAAGTCCATTATCAAACAGCTTAGTCCAGGAGATCTAAGCCATTTTTGGAACAATCTAGAAACTGCAACTGTTTTTATTTTACCACAGTGCTTTCCCACGAAAACCCATGAAATCCCCAAAATGACATACTACAAGTCCCGAAGGACTCCTAGCATGTAACTTGACACAAGACTCATGCACATGCCCAGGTGTGCCATCTTACCTTGTTCAGACATTGCACAACATGTGCCAGATCAATCCAAGGCTGGCTGTTTTCATCCACTTGGTGAAACAGGAAGTCTCTGAACAACTTCAGCATGTATCTGTCTCCTGTTTCTGACCATGCAGGATCCAAGTGAAACCTGGAAGTATAAAACAAATGTAATTGTTTCTTTCTGTAAATACTTTCACACAGAAAGTACATTATCAGTTTATTTATTTATCTATTTTCATTCAAGTATGCATTACCAACAGGATTTATTACTTTTCTTTTTCATTTTTTATGTAAATACTCACTCTGGTCTTTCATTTATCAAACCAAGCTTGCACAAAAGTCTGAACAGTCTGCCATTTTCAACTTCCTGGAAGTAATAATAAAATGAAATTTGTAACTCTAAATAAGCATCCAACAAAAGAAAAGCTCACAAGCTCATTAAGGTATAGCATATGTATGATTTTGTAAATTTGTTTGTTGGATTTAAATATTTCCCATTGAGAAAAACGAGCAAAACATTTTAGTGCAACAGCATCACTGTTCATTGAAAACCCGAGTACAGGGATGAGACCAGTCCTCATTGAAAAAGTAGGAAAATTGGCTGGGGGGTCCAGGGTACACGATTTACATAAATGACCCAAATGACCCTGAAAAAGTCAGAAAAGTCCCATCAGTATAAGTAAGGCACCCTCTCCTTACCTTAGAGAGTTCATTCTCCAAGACGTCATTTCTCAACTGGGCGGCGTCCAGCTGCGTGTAGAACCTGGCACCAATCATTGGCATAATGTCATTCACACTGCGCATGCGATTCTGGTTGGTCAGCAAATACCTTAGACACAAAAGAAGATATACTGTGCCATGACTAAGTGTATGTAAATCTTATAAATAAGAAATTCAGGTTTTCTTTTATATGTAGAATGCACACCCCTGGATAATAATACATCTAACCTGAACGTTTTTATTTCTACACATTCTGAATGTATTGAAATCTGCAATTTCTATCAATCCCCACAAACGAGACTTCCCATACATTTTCACTGACAATGTCACAAGTCCACAAACCGTACACTGGGGGAAGGGGTTAATATACCCACTTTGTAGACTTGTGAAAACGATGAAAAAAAAAAATAGAAGGCCCCTTACAGTATGAGGTTTTTCAGATCTGCAGAATAGTTTCTTGCCACAAGTTCCATGGATGTCTGTATGTGTTCTCTCTGAATGCCAATGACAGAATTACAGGCCAGGGCCAGCACCACCTTGCCCAGAGACACCAGGTCTTCTTGCTGTAACACACAGAGAGAGAAAACCCTTGATAATCATTATTAACATTGAGCAGGTATAACACTTGTAATAAAACAATATTCCAGAGTATGGAATTATTCAAGTTTCATGCTGAGGCAGTCCTCTGCCAACATGTGTGTGTATCTTACTTGACAGTGAAACTACACAGTCTGATAAGGAAATTCAACATTGCATAAGCGTGATGCACTTTTTTTTTGTAATCAACAATGCAACATTTCAGGTATTTCTTGACAATACTGGATAAAATGTGAAAGTGCATCACAAGTGTTTATCTTGCCTTGTGCACCACACATTTAGAACAACATATAAACCATTAAGTCTGAAACTCATCCCTACACCTATATTTGTAGTTCAGTATGCATATCAAACTTGTGTGTTACCTGATAGTGGGGCATCATGGCCATGGGGTTGGCCTGGTTGGGATCAAAACTCAACACATCAAAGATCCCCACACAGTTCAAACGTAACCTGGAAACAAAATCTGGGATTTAAAACAGGTTTTATCTCCATGGAAATGACTGTTTCATGAAATGGTTTCGTTCATTGTCACACCTCTTAAGGCTCATGTCTTTGCAGTATTCTTAATTTAAGCTCAAGATAAAAAGTTGAATACGTAACAAAACAAGTTCTCTAGTTAAAATAAAATAATTGGATTATATTGAAATACCCTGGGAACAAGAGTCATCATAACCCTGCTTCTGACAAACATCAAGAAAATCCCATGTGTAATTTTATCCACCTCAAGTGAGCTTGGTTACTATGCCAATAACTAAAGAAAATTTCTTCTACCCAAAAAAAGAATAAATAAATAAATGATTTTTAAAAAAATATGCATACCTGTAGAAAATTTTAATTGCTTTAATCACGGACTTAAATCATACAAAATTCACATACCTGGTTTTGTCCACAATAAGTATCTTGGTCGGGTCCATCACGCGGCATGCTAGCCCCTGTGTGTGGATGGTCCGTAATGCAGAGCTCAGCTGGACCACATAGGACCATATCAAGCTTTCTGGGAGGAGGCCTGCATGCTGACGAGGTCCATTTAACCCTACAAGATTAATCAGGAAATAGTCAAAAAGTTTATATATAAATATAAAATACTGGGTCTGTAACCAAACTGGATAATCTTCAGATAAGAGCCTGACATTAATTTCTCTTTAAACTAAATGCAGTTTCACCAGAATTATTTTTGGGATCAGTATTCTAAATTAATTTTTAACCAAATACAGTCATATACATATACAACTACATTCATATATTTTTCAAAATTTAACTTGTAATAAACTGCCCTCACCTTTACCCGCGCTGAAAGGCCTAGCAGCGCCATCTAGATTGTATGGGTTTGCATACCCATTTAACATCGGAGGTGCGCTGAAGTGCCGCGACATCAGAGTCTCTGACCTCGGATAGTAGTCATATACAAACACCATGGCTGTAAAACATGGTTACTAACATTTCATGATTCACAGTTATATAATGAACATGTAATAGAATTGAATATTAATCAAAAAACATTGAGAAGTATCTGCTTATAAAAAACATTAATAATTAGAAAATCTTCCTGTTTGACAATTTTCAAGAATAACTTTCAAGTTGTAACGAATAGCAACGACTCTGATTTTAGGTCTGATGGCACTGGAAGTTACTAGTAACTGTGACTGTATCTTATATATAAAATCATATGATATTTCTGTACTACTTACAGTGGTCCCCAAAAGATTTGGTAGTGAACACTTCTCTGAGGCACACCATGTTGGAGTGCTGGATCTTCTTCCACTTATCTATCAACTCCAAACACCGGGGGTGAATGTGGCGGAAGCCTGCAACACAAATAAAACAGCAAGTGATGTACAGCACACCACATGTTATCACTGTAACACAGCATGCTCAGGGTCCAGTTTCAAAAGATGTATAGTTGTATGTGCCCACTTAAAGAATGAAGGACCTTCTTTCATCGTCATTTTTCTTACACTACTGGCTGAACCAGGAATTCACACAACAACCAATAATTTCAGCAACCTTGCAAGAAAGGGGCTCATTCCCAATGATACTATTGTTCTACATAGATCTATCCAACATTCGTGTATAAACACCAGCTTTTCTGTATTTTATTGAATGCCAGAAAAAGACGTGTTAATCTATGAAGCTGATTACAATCAGGGAGAGTCTCCGCAGAGTTGGATCAATCCATGTCAAAAGATAGTTTCATTGGGAATGAGCCCTAACAGAAAGCTGAGCCGACCCACCATGTATCCTCCTCAGACAGTAGGTGAGTCCATCCTCCGTGTTCACGGCCTTGTAACAGGAGGTAGGATAGCCAAAGGTACTGGACTTTTGCATGGGGCTGATGGCAGGGGGTTCCAGGGGAACCAGGTTATGGTACTTGTCCACCTCTGCAGGGAGATCTGAAAAGGGGGAGGCAATATTGATCATTTAAGTCATATCTCATCAGGCATGGAAATAGATAAATGTGTTGTGCTCGTGTGTGTGTGTGTGTGTGTGTGTGTGTGTGTGCTTGTGTGTTTGCAAGTCACACAAAACACAGAAACTTTCCAAATTCTCTTATCGACACACAAAATAGTTCATTTTCTCTGCCATGCATTGATCAGTTTGCATTTGATGCTCAAACATGTATTCTGATTTTTTATTACAGCATGGATAAAAAGATTAAACTAAAATTCATTATTTCACTGTCTCATTTTAAGAGTCAGCCTACCTAATGCCCCCTCTACTTGACACAAAGTCACTGCCTGTTTGTTCAACAATTCCTGTAAGGCAAAAATCAATCATTTTATATAATCAGACTTAACCTCAGTGCTCTAATCTCTGGCATCAAGGAATCAGCAATAGACATGGGAAATGCTTCAGATGAATGCATCCCCTTTTCCTGAATAGACCCCCTTTTTGAACAATAAGTATAAAACCCAGCAATTTTGTTAACCATCTTATACATGAAAAAAAAAAAACAAAAAACAGGCAATTCTTAAAAAAAAAGATGACAACTCCCGACCCTGAGACATAAGCCACATTTAGTGTCTTTTGAATACACTGGTCAACTCACCATCTTGATCTCATCAGGCATAAAGAAGGAGGGCATGTTGGACTTGAGTTTCATGTGGGCAATGTGAGGAGGCACACTGGCATACTCACTGTAGCTTGGAAATGCCTGCAAAGTTTTAAGCACTTGCTGTTATCTGGCATGTTAACAAAGAAATAATATTGTACCAATGTTTTACATACAATTAACTCCCAGAAAGCTGTAATAAAAACATAACAACAGCCCCCCCCCCCCTCCACACACAGCCACTCACCAAAAAAATAAACCACTCATCTAATTATCCATCCTTACCACTCTTAACAGATACAGACACTCATTCACCAAAATTACTGAGCTTCAAACTTCTAAACCAGTGACAGTAAATTGTTTCGTTAACATAAACCTACCAAAAGTAAATAGTTTTACATAAACCTTGCAAATGAATAGTCAATTGTTTTACATAAACCTACCAGTAGCAAATTGTTTTACATAAACCAAGCAAATGGATAGTTTGTTTTACATAGCCTACCAGTAGTATTTTGTTTTACATAAACCTACCAATCTCTGTTGATTGGCCACTGCCTCATCATGGGTATAAAAATAGGTGGTGCCCCCTACATTCTCCTAGGGAAAAAAACAAAATGTTCAAACAGCTGTCCAGGACAGGAAAGTAGTTGCAGCTTAAAAAAGTCAAAAGTGATCATTTTAACTGCCATATCCTGGCTCCACCACCTTTAAACAAGTTTGAGAATTATTGCAGACAAATAAAAAGAAAATTTCCTAAATCTTTGTTGTAGTCTTTTATTTTTTAATTTAGGGATTTTATATTTTTCTCACTTGTAGTGCATAAAAAGTCTCTCAAACTTTCACAATCAAACAAAGGAAATAAAAACCCTTTTCTTCAATTTTACTACATATACAGTTACCTTTTAATGATAGGCCCGAGCTCTGGTTTCTATTCGCTGTGATTTTAGCAATTCAAATACTTGCAAATCAACACTCTATTACCTGGTTAAAAGACACGGATTAAATCTCAAATATATAAGCAACTACTACCTGCATAATAAAAACAATGAAATAAAACACCCACCTGTAGCTGCAAGGGAGTTCCTGAACCTTCTGCATTGGATGTCGCTACAGAAGTGTTCAATTGCACCAGTGGCGACTTGCTCCTCCGGCTGAGCAAGGGTGAATGCGTTGGTGTGTGCGCTGGACTCGGCCCTGCAGACAACGAGTGACCTGCGTTAAGTAGTATGACAGTGCTTTGTTGGAGAGAAACTACAGTTAGAGACAGACAGCTACACAGAGACACAAGCCACATCTAGCATGATTATCTGATAAAGCCACTTTGGCAAAATCAGAATTTTAAGTATTTGGAAATAATGTAGGAAGAATCTGGAAGATACTTAATTTTATATGTTAGCAAGTGCTATGACAGTTAAATGTAAGATCATGCTGTTAGTATAGCATTGCCAGTATTAAATAAAAATATGGGCAGGAAAAAAATAAGGAAACTATAAAGCTTACATTATGTTTTTAATATGTAGTTATGTAAACTAAACAGTCAAGGTAAATATATGAAATATATTAGTGTGGGGAACAATTAAATAGTGAACTTTGCACAAAGCAATATAATTGTAACAATTTACCTCATTACTATAACATGTGGTTGCACAGAGCACATAAAAAGCAAAACAAAGTAAAATGCTTTGTGATATTAAGAATTCCCTAACCCCCAAGATTTATATTTTCCAAGCTGTTGTCAGCAAAAATAGCAGACCTAAAAACTGTGTAACCATTGTTATGTCATTGCTCTATGTGCATATTCAGCCTTTACAACAATGGACACACTGCTGCAAAATAATGGTCTTCCTGTAATGTTTATCCACCCCTACCCCAACACCTACCACCACAAATGGCCAACTATTTCCTTGACCTCCCATTCATTCATACCTTGCTGTTGCATGACCTGAGCTGCCATGGAAGCGGGTGGCATGCCCGGCTTGAACGGACCGACTCCATAGTCAGGGAAGGAGGGGACACTGGCACTGTGGGTCAGAGTACCCGAACTCTTAGGAATAAACTCACTGGCACCTGGCTTCAGCTCCTACAACAGAAATGCAGGAGCTTTGTTATTTAACTAGACAGCAAACCTGGCAAATAGACAGCTGCTACTAACAGAAAGTCATTTCTAATGCTCCATTTTATCTTTTTTTTTTTTTTTTTGAAGATGTCTGATATACTTGTTACTCAACATCATGGAATCTGTGCACAGCGCTAAAAACCCAAATGCTCTTAGTAAAACATCAGTGTTGAAGAAATTATGAATTCACGCCAAATTTCAGTAGTATCCTGATTATGTTTTTAAACTTACAGTCTTAGAATGCTCAATATTGAGTGCAGAGAAGCCAGAGCTAAGATGGTCCACACCAGGAGGGCCAGAGGGTGAGGGGTCCTGCATCCCTACCCCGCGGCCACCACTGTTAGTTCTCTGTAATAAAAACAGCATCATACAGCAAAGACAACGCCATGTGTTTCTATTTCACCAGATAAGGACCATATGTGTTTCTTTAAAATTTTTCTGAACTAAACAATGGAAGCATGATAACATTTTTTTAAATTATCATTTTTCTCACTGTAAAATAATGATGCAATTGATTAAATTGGTTTTGCAAGCTTTAAGTAAGATAAAAGCAACATACTTTGCAAATTCCTCAGTCTCTCTACAAAACACTTCACTGATATACTGTATATACCCAATTTTCTTATTTATCAATAATCATTTGCAGTACGATAAACTGACAAAATGCCAACATGTCTTTGGCAATGAGTCAATTTGCTACACAAATATCTATTTGTTATATTTATAAAGGGGCCCGCACACGGTGAGCATTTGGCGCACGCCACTTGCGCTGCGCCGTTTTCTCATCGTGTGCAGGGGTATTTTGGTGAGATTTTTGCCTCTCGCATGGCTGAGCAAAATTTCTCACGTGTTTGATTTTTTTGGTCTCTTGAGGCAAATGTCTCAGCGTGTGCGGGGTGCAAGCGCCGATTGCTCACACCATGCCAACAATGCGCATGTGCCGGTAGCCGGAAACAAAGAAAAATGGCAGCCCCCAGCGAAGTAAACAAAAATGTACGCAGTTATAGTTAGTCTGATTGATTAACGTGGTCACCATTTGCCATTACTTTCAGAAAAAAAATAAATATGTAATGTTTTCTTAATCACATGATCCCACAGTTCGCGGTGCGTCAGATAGGGGCAGGCCAGGAGGCACCTCTGCTGAGCAAAGAGCGCATCGTTTGTGGGGAGCTGAGGAGCGCGAGCATCTGGCGCAGCGCAAGTGGCGCGCGCCAATTGCGCACCGTGTGCGGGGTGCTTAATATAATTTTATAAACATAATTAAAATCTCTGCACATGCTACGACAGTAAAATCATTTGCCTAGAGAGCATCTTTTTTGATACATGAACTTACTTGAGAGTATGGTGAAAATTCATTAAAACCATTGAAAGTTGCAGTGAAATATTGGTCTCCGTTGTTTGCCTCACGTCCTACAACAATACCTAGAAAGAAATAGTCACAGAGGTTTTAGCTGTCTAGTACATGTCAGTTATCAAATAATATAAATCACCCAGTTCAGTAAATTCATCCCCACTGCAAAGTACCTGGAATTTCAGACTATGAGTTTCAAAATAAACATTGACAAATTTAATTAATAGCCAACTCCATGGGATTTTCCTGCCAAAATGAATTTTGCCAAGGTAAAGGGCAATTTTCTCCTACTTTCAAATTATTACTTTACCCATCCCAGAACTTGGATTTGGATTTTTATTGTTATACTGACTGGCCAGTCATTATAATGGGATCTGTCTCGTTTTCACACTAGAATAGGTGGGCGGTTTTAAATTGGGATCCTGTTTGGTGTAAAATATAAACACTGCAAGCTGGCAATGGCTACAGCAAGGACAATGAGAAGGAAATAATGAGATTGACACAAGGTATACTTCTGATAAACTTCAGCATAAAGGTTTTATTATCTTTAAAATCTAACTTGGGAAATTTTAAGAGGCTTTACAAGGCACTAATATGAGTCCAGATATTCACTATGGTGAGAAAATCACATGGAGTGTTGATTTAATTTTACTGTAAGATGCTGATTTTTTTCAAACTGTATTTGTATACTGTAAGATCTCTACTTGGTAAGGGCTAAAACCGACACATACAAGCGGCCAAAAACAACTGTTGGCCAGTGAACTGGCCTTCATAAGTAACAAAGCCAGGCTTTGACTTTGAAGAGGTCTATTTATTGTCAACTTCAAAAATACTGAAGTCTGTTGAGCTGATCTGTTGATTGCAATTGGTTCAAACAATCACTTATCATTTGGTAATATAAATAACTGTATGTAGATCGGTTTTAAGACAGATATTCTACACTACAATTTATTACTACTGTACAACTTGTTGATGAAAGTAAGCCAGAATTGTTCAATTTCAAACAAACGTCAGAGTTTATTTTTGATAATAGACAAGAAGACTGTTCGCTTTCCTGACATGCACGGGTCTAGATGATCTAAATCGATCAGGACTTTACCTTGAGGATGATCAGGTGCGGTGCCCGAAGCAAATTTTGTGGTTGGCGCGCCTGTCCCTACATTTTCGGGTAAGCCATCTGGAGCATCATGCGAAAACTGACATTCAGCACCGTAGAAACAGCTCCCTGTATTTGCAAAATAGCGGCATACTGCAGACTTCTTCGCATTTGAAGGCCCACTCAACATTGTCTTGAGACCCGTACTAATACATGTGTGTCATCTGATTGCATTTGTCATGCCTTGATGCCCCGTAAATGTAAAAATCGTGAACTTGTTTTGGTAAATTTGAGTTTTGCTCCGATTTCTTGCAAGTGCGCACGCAGATTTTGCGGAATTCTGGGATAGGTCAGGGCCTCGAATTCATCTAACCTGTCAAGATGAGCCCAATGCACAACTGCTTGAAGAATACCGCATGAACTGGAACCCATTTCGCGCAAGTGAAGTTTATGACTCGATCCTTAACTCACTTAACTGCTAGTGTTAACTTAACAAACAATGTCTTCACAGACGGCACTTTTAGAATAGCTAGAAAACTAACAATGCCCCATGGCATACTAGGGGACCTACTAGTAGACAGTGAACTGCTAATTTTTCGTTAAAAATGTGCATCTGACTTCATCAAACCATCATTACAAAGTTAAATGGAAGATTGTTTCATAGTGTTTTAAGCAAGTCCCTTTGCCTGTAATTTAATCAGTAAGCCAAAAACAGATTAAAAAAGAAGCGGAACTGGTATTAATTTGAAAGAAATAAAAGAGATATCTACAATTTATAATATATTAGGCCCTATATACATGTATATTAGTGCGTGAGAAGTTTTATTTATTTATGACCTTTATACCAGAAAAATCATTGAAATGGTTGGGTAATATAACTTCTACATACAACATACATTAAAACGAACAGACCAATATACAGCCGTATACACGTCCCTATTTGTATTTATAATTAACGAATTAATTAATTAATAAAAATTATTCTAGTTATTCAGGTAGCGCCTAAAATACGGGTAGGCCTATTAGGCCCAGAAGAAATATCCTACCAATCTTGTAAAACTATAGAAAACTTTCTGAAACAAAATATGTAAAAAAACATGAAAAGGAGGCACTAGTATAATGCCCTGTATAAAATACCAGTAATTAAAAAAAAAAAAAAAAAAAAAAAAAAAAAAAAAAAAAACGGACAAAAATAAAATAATAAAAATAATAAAAAAAGACTTTAAAACTGCACCTTCTTCAAATTTTTGGTCTTTACTTTTACCTACTTATTTTCCCTTTAGTCTGTAAAGCACAGAAAGCAGTACAAAATGCAAGCAGAAAACATAGGCCCTACGTGGAAACAGAGTTTGTATGGAAATAATACATCGAACCCGCTTTTTATCTCTAAGTTATTCTGTTTGAAGTTATATGGGGGCAGTTGGTTGGGTCATGTAAGTATATACTTCTATGGTTAGGTCAAGAACGTGAACTGAAATAAGTCCTTGGTTGGGTTTCACGTACACCGTTGGTTAATTGAAACAATAGAGTACAGGGTACATGTATAACGTTCAATATCTCTGGGTAAGTGAGGTGATCATTTCAGTTGGGGACAGCGCGTACCGCGCTCAATCTTGTACTTCTGTGTGTTGATAAAAGCCAGGTAAGTGTCAGTCAGAAACTAGCTATATGATAAGTTACATTTCCACGTTTTTTCACCTGTTTTGAAATCGATTTGCAATGAAGCTTCACTTTTATCAGATTGACACCTAATTAGATAGTGGGTTATAGGCCTACTATAATGTTTAAATTCAATGTTTAAATTCAATTTTATGTTCAATACATGTAGGCCTAACTAATCGGAATTTATGAACAAGTTTTTCGTTGATATCTTTTATTTTCTCTTGCAGAAAAGTTTTATTATTACAATTTTTAACCAAAAAAGGGTTTTATGGCATGTTTATGGGTACACCAGTTGTTTACACGTTGACTCCTACATCAGGCAAACAAAGCCTCTAAATTTTATGTTTGTTGACCTAAATCATGCCACAAGGCGTGGGTTCGGGGCCTGCTAAAGGGTCACGAAATTTTTTTTGGTGTTTTAGAAGGCGAACGGTGTCATATGGTACGGTTTAGAAGTATGAATCAGTTAATCAAAATTCTTATTTTAAGAGGGGACCATTGGTGTTTTTTTCTCCAAAAATCGAGAAATCAAAGGGGGGGGAGGGGGTCAGGTCCCCCTGGCAGCCCCCCTCCCCCAAATCCGCCACTGCATCACTATTTGTATTTATAATATGCGTAAATAATCATTTTCTTCTTTCTGTCTAGTTATTCAGGCAGGTAGTGCATTCTTGAAAGATAAAATATTAGGTCCAGAAGAAATACCAATTAATCTTGTTAAATTAAAGAAACTTTTCTGAAACAAAATATGTAAGAATACATATGAAACGAAGGTACTAGCATAATGCCCTGTATAAATACTAGTATGTATAAGTTATTAGTGAAATTTTCTTACACGACACAAATTAAACAAAAAATAATAATAATTAATTTCTCAGGCAGCAAAAGAAGAAAAAGGCTTAAAACTGCACCTTCTTCATATTTTTGGTCTTAATTTTTGCCTACTTATTTTCCCTTTAGTCCGTAAAACACCGCATCAGTGCAGAAGGAAAGCAGAAAATATCCGTGGAAACTCAATTTTTCGGGAAATAATATAACGAAACTTTATGGTTTTTCTTAAAATTATCTGTTTGAAACTACAGCGTATATGGAGGCAGTTATTAGTTGGGTTAAGTTCCAATGATTTGACGTACTCCAGTATTTACGCGTTCAATATGCTTCTTTAATGAATAGATCTAGAAATTGACTTGATTTTTTTTCGTTATATACCGTAGTAAATTGTACAGGGGAGAAAATAATAACAAGATAAGGTGTAGTTACTCATTTTGTACTGTATGAAAATCGAAAAGTAAGGGCACTTATGAAAGTAAACAACACTCTACCTCAACAGTGACGTAGATGCAAACCATTGGTTAATTGAAACAATAGAGAACAGGGTATAACGTTCAATTTCTCTGGGTAAGTGAGATGATCATTTCAGTTGGGGACAGCGCGTACCGTACTCAATCTTGTACTTCTGTGTGTTGAAAAGCCAGGTAAATGTCAGGAACTAGCTATGATAAGTTACATTTCCATGTTTTATTCACCTGTTTTGTAATCGATTTACAATGAAGCTTCACTTTTATCGGATTGACACCTAATTAGATAGTGTACGTGTTATACTATAAACGTATGTAACGTTTTTGTTCAGTACATGTAATTAATCGGAATTTATGAATACGTTTTTTGTCGTTTGTTTTTATTTTCCCTCGAAGGAAACTTCGATTATTATATTTTTAAAACTTTTTTTACGGGTACACCGGTTGTTTATACGTTGATACCTACATCAGACAAACAAAGCCGCTAGATATTTTGTCTATTGGCCTAAATTGTACCACCAGAGGTTAACTAGCTTTCGTCGTTACGCAAATTGCCTTACTGAGAAAATAAGAGATTTGCAAATGTCAAGTAATTTTTTTTTCGTGTAGAACTCAGAATTTTATTACATTATCAACAAACTTATTGACCTTGATCTGCGTATTGTCCACTTTTAGTTTCACATCTATACTGCCTTTCAGCACAGCTATAGCTGGGTCATGCTAGATAAGATAACGATACAGGATAAACGAGTTTAACCTTATGTATACCATGTACTGCCCGTCGCATCTGCCCTTTAGAACGTCTTTGCAAATGTATACGCACAGGCAGATGTCGCGGTCGCTTATATCATTGGAGAAGAATGGACTGGACTCTCTTCGAAGTCAACTCCACGAACGCGGAGAAATGGAGTTTTGCAAAGTGATTGATGACGTAATGGCCAGAGAAGGTAAGTGACTGGCTAGGTCGCTTTTAACACACAATTTTTTTCCCACTTTAACACTAGATCCAGGATTTTGCTATAGACCTTTGGCACGTGACATCACTTGTCGGCAAATCAGGGCAGTGACCGGCTATCGCGTCCTTGGTGTAGGGAAATTTCATGGGTGAAAAAAGTAAGTGAGGTTTAAAAGGGCACATGACCAATTCACCCCATCCTGGGTCCAGCTTTGTTTTGAACCAGCAGCACATCTCGTATAAAATTTATGTATAGCGAGAAAGGTCATTTGTATATTTGTATTAAGTTTCATCCTGGGGGAGGGGGGGGGGGTTAATTGTTTATAAATCGGTTAGCTTCTCAGGTCAGTGATCCGTCAAGTCTATTTTTTTACTTGAATTACTTTCATACCCAAACACCCGTGCATAGATTGCATTTATTTTGCATTGTTTTCATTCATAGTATATCAGCATTGACTTCATCGATAACATGAATTATCAGTTTAGCAGATACATCACTAACAGGCAACCAATAATGTGAAATGAATGGAATTTTTTATGTAACAGAAGTGAAACTCAGATTTTTCTTTTTCATGTAGCTGATATGCTGCGACAGTTAGAAGGATGGAAAAACAAATGTGATCAGCTTAAGAATGAACTGGAGGTGATTAAGAACAATAAAATAAAAAAAATAAAAAAAAGAAAGAAAAGAAAAAAGAGAAGAGACAAAACAGATAAAACGTAGGCACACGCTTCTCAACATGAGTTTTCAATTAAACCCACATTAATTAGATCCTTGATTCCTTTTTTAAGACCACAATACATTGTTTAACTTTTATCATTACGTATTATTTTTCTCGTGTCGCTCTGTCTG